CCCGGGGGAACCAGGACCTTTCTGGGTGGTTCTGCATGTTCTCCTGTGTCTGTGGGTTCTCTCCGGGTTCTCCGGCTTCCTCCCACCCTCCAAAAACCTGCATGCTAGGTTGTTGGACTCCAAACTGCCCTTATTGTGAGTGTGTGTGGTTGTTGGTCCTTGTGTGTCTCTGTGTGTCCCTGTGATGGACTGGGGACCGTCCAGGGGGACCCCGCCTCTCCCCATTGGCTACTGGGATAGGCTCCGCCCCCCTAAACCCCATTAGGGGATAAGGGGTAACGATAATGGATGGATCGATAGTTTGTCACATATTTGTGACAGCAGGCTTTAAGGGGTTTATCCCCCTTCCAGGGGGGGCAGCTAAGGGGCTAAAGGTGGGTTAGGGCCAAAGGTGGGTTAGGGCTAAAGGTGGGTTAGGGCCAAAGGTGGGGCGCTCACCGGTGGGGTCTATCCATAATATTATGTTAAAATAGTGGATGTTAAATAGGTTTGTACAATAAGTCCAAACAAGTACAACCAAAAAATATTTATTTCTCACAATTATGAAGGGTTAGGGTTAGGGTTAGGGTTAGGGTTAGGGTTAGGGTCAGGGTTAGGGTTAGGGTTAGGGTTAGGGCCAGGGTCATTAACTCATTGACTGCCAGCCATTTTCAGAACAGAGTCCCATACCGCCAGAGTTTTTTGGGCATTTTGACTGATTTTTCAAGAGCCACAGAATAGTTTGTGCTATGACTATGTAAACACCGAACACACCAAAAGAAAGAGTAGACTCTCTTCTTTCATCAGGAAAAACTCACCGCCCCCCCGTCTTGCCCCCGCCCCCCCAGGTGACGGGGAAGCTGCTCCAGACCTCCCTGACCAAAGAGGGGGAGACGGTGCGTTTGGACCAGCGGAACGTGCCCTTCCAGGTGGACACGTCCACCGACAGCCCCTTCCTCATCATCCCGCTCACCTTCTACCACGTCATCGACGAGCTCAGCCCCCTCCGGGCCTGGGCCGCCAAAGGTGGGTTAGGGCCAGAGGTGGGTTAGGGCCAGAGGTGGGTTAGGGCCAGAGGTGGGTTAGGGC